CCTGGAGTTGGAGACCCCGGTGCCAGAGGCGCTGGCCCTGGGGGTACTGGTGCTGTCGGTGCTGGTTCTGGAGGCACTGTGCGGCCGCGACCGTACTTCGTTCCACGGCTTCAGCGGGTTCTTGGCCTCCTGTCTTCTACTGGCCTTACTCCTCCCATACTGTGTCCACCGCCTGACCAGTCGCAATTACAGCCAGCCTCCCCACTGCCTGCTCCTCCTCCTTTCACTGAGCAGACAGGAGGTCTTACAGAGCGTCGTGAGCCTCCGTCTCGTCCTGCCTCGCCTGTTCGCGCTGTTCGCATTGGTCGTCGTGTTCCGCGTCGGCGTCCTCCTCCTGTCCCCGGCACACACCATATGGCACTTCGTCCTTCCTCTGTTCCACAGCGTGTCCCCCTGCTGTCTCCTCCTGCGTCCTCTCTTGCTGACGTTCCGGACCCTGAGTCTGACTTACTTCGGGCTGCCAGTCCTACTGTCACACGTCTTCTGGCCACTGTTGTCACTGACCCTTCGTTTGAGTCCACTGTTGCGTCTGCCCTAGTTGCTGAGCTTGTTGACTTTGCTGCCACCTGTCGTCTCGACTACGCCACTATTCTTGTTGCTGAGTCTGGGTCTGACTGTCCTCCGTCCGTCGGGGGTGAGTGTGCTCTTAGCACGGACGTCCTTGAGGACAGGCAGGAGGACTTTGAGTGTTTTGCAGCTGCTGTACCTTATCTCGTGTCCATGCTGATTGCACCTGAGGGAGACCCGGATGCACCAGACATCCCGACCCCGCGCTGTTACGCAGAGGCGATTACGGGTCCCTACTCCTCTCAGTGGCAGACAGCCATGGACGCAGAGATGGCATCCTGGAAGTCCACAGGCACTTACGTCGACTCAGTTCACCCTCCTAGGGCGAACATAGTCGATGGCATGAGGATTTTCAGGGTGAAGCGGCCGCCGGGTTCTCCGCCTGCCTTCAAGGCTCGTTACGTTGCATGAGGCTTCAGTCAGTGACAGGGAGTTGACTTCTTCCAGAACTTCTCCCCTACCCCGACGATGACCACTCTTCGGGTACTACTGCACGTCGTTGCTCAGCGTGTCTACGAGCTTCACTCTCTTGACTTCAGCACAACTTTCTTACAGGGCAGCCTGCACGAGGAGATCTGGCTGCGCCGCCCACCTGGCTACACTGGGTCGTTTCTTGCAGGTGCCCAGTGGAGCCTCCGGTGGCCAGTCTACGGTCTCCGCCATGCACCTCGCGAGTGGCACGACACACTGAGGACGATGCTTGCGGCTCTTGGGTTTGCTCATTCGACTGCTGACCCGTCGCTGTTTCTACGCATCGACACTTCGCTGCCGCAGTTCTACATCCTCGTGTACGTCGACGACTTGGTCTTTGCCACTGCTGACACTGAGGGACTGGCCCTAGTGAAGTCGGAGCTGCAGAAGAGACACACGTGCACAGACCTGGGTGAGCTGCGCAGCTATCTTGGCTTGCATATCACCCGGGACAAAGCACGGCGCACCATTACCTTGACTCAGTCACACATGGTGCAGCAGGTCCTTCAGCACTTCGACTTCCAGTACTCCTCGCCACAGTCCACTCCTCTGCCTACCGGTCACTCGCTCTCAGCTCTACCTTCGGACGAGTCCGTAGAGCCGAGTGGCCCGTATCCAGAGCTTGTGGGCTGCCTCATGTACCTGATGACCTGCACTCGACCTGACCTAGCCTACCCTCTTAGCATCCTGGCACGCTACGTTGCGCCCGGGAGACACCAACCAGAGCACTGGAAGGCCGCTAAGAGGGTGTTGCGCTACTTGTGCAGTACGTCGGCCATGGGGCTCGTGCTTGGAGGACAGGGTCGAGTTGTCCTCACTCGACACTCAGACATGGCTGGTTTTATCAGGGTAATTACCCTGATTCCAGGTTGATTTCAGGCTTTCCACTTTGTGGAGACTGAAATTTCTGAGTTAATGAGTTCTCAACCCAGATCCAATCAGAGTAATAGTTTATCTATCCCTGATTTTGAGTACAGTGTAACAGACTAGCGTGTTAGTGGACCCTGAGTTAACAGAGTATCGATTCTGTGGTCCCTGAATTTGACCTTATCGGGAGGAAGTTTCTCGAAAATATTCTTCCAATAACCCCGCCTTCGGATTGATCGCTGTGACCCCCCCCCCCCCCCCCCCCCCATGTGCGTAATCTCTCTCTCCCCCCCCCCCCCCTCCCCTCCGCGCTTTATCGAGACGAAAGTTCTTCGAAACTTTGTTCTGATACACCTAACATCGAGATCGGGCGAATCTGCAATGCCAGATATATATTTTTCTGTGATTGGTCGTAATAGTTGTGCCCTGACAGCGGAAATCTGTGACTTGAACAAGTTTGACTCGGCCGTTCGGTCGGTACACTCGCTCCAGGATGCACGCCTCTGAGTGTAAAACGTTACAGTCGCAGCGTGTCTGATGCGTATCGTGTACATGTCAGATGAAGAGATTTGATTGGGCATTGTAATAAGACAGGGAAACGTTACTCTCGCACACCAGATAGGTCAATCGCACCCGCCCTGCACAAATTAGTGAAGTGGGACTTTTTTCCCCGGTAGCAAAGAGCGCGTTGCTACTCTGATGTTCAATTCTCGACCCTGAACTATCAGAGCTAACTACTTTACAACCCTGAGCAATCAGGGTGCTGTTTTTCTGGAAAATGTGCACCCATAATAGAGGGGGATTTTTTTCCCCGGAATCAGGGAGGCCTAAAATGAAACGTCAGCCCTGCACGCAGACGCTTCTTGGGTTGACGACTTGGTTACGCAGCGGTCGTCACAGGGTTACACTTTCAGCCTTGGCTCCGGCTCTGCTTCTTGGCGGTCTACCCGCTCATCTTCTGTTCTCAGTTCCAGTTATGAGGCTGAGATCTACGCAGGGGCCATGGCTGCACAGGAGTTACGCTGGCTCACCTACCTGCTGACCGACTTGGGAGAGCGCCTCGTTCTCCTCCAATTCTGTACGTCAACAACAAGGCCATGATTGCCTTTGTGTCAGGAGCACAGACTGGAGCACATGACAAAGCACATCGCTCTGCGTTACTTCCTTGCTCGAGAGTTGCAGCAGCGTGGGCAGCTTCGTCTTGCTTACGTGGCCTCTCGGGCCAACACTGCTGATATCTTCACCAAGGCACTTCAGCCTTGTGACCATCAGCGTTTCTATACTGTCCTAGGCCTTGTGCCTACTTGGCCTGACTTGCTCACTTCTTGACTTTGCTGGTACTGTGATCTATATACATATACCTGCATGCTTGCACTTGCTAGGTTTTGATCACTGTACTGCTTGTTCTCCCTTATATAACGCTGCATGTGAACTGGCCTTGTGGCCATTTGCTTGTGCTCAGAGTGTGTGGTGACTTTGTGATCCACCCTGAGCTTGCTTTGTTTTTCTTGACTGGTCTTGTGACCTCTTGTTCTCCCCCAGTTTGCCTGTGGGGGTGTGTCAAACTTATATGTTGTATGTTGTGTAGGCTGTAGTTGGGTAGCCCACATGGGGTACAACCCAAATAGGGTTAGTACTTGTACCCATCATGCTGCTAGTTCATTCATTCTCGCTTAGTATTCTGACAAACACTTATAGTGAAAACGTGAGCGAATCCATTGCGAGCTAACTATTGCAATGCTAGCAGCTATGTTCGGGCTAGTCCCGAAGCGAAGGCCGACTCGGCCAAGTACAGCAGTGCGTGGTTTGGTAAAAGTGATGGCGAGCACCTTCAATAAGGAACGGCCAAAGAACGGTCCGGTGTTGTTAGCGTTATGTACGGTAGGTGCATGGTAAGAAACCCGGAAAAAATCCTTACAGAGTTATATAACAAGCTGCGCAAAATTGATACTCATTTGAGGGCGGCACGAAAACACTTAACACACGCACGCGTATATGCGGAACATTCGATCATATACGCTGTTTCATTCAATTACTTTGAATAAAGTTGCACTCTCGTTAATATTGCTTGTTAGCCTTCACACGGTTTGCTGTACTGTCGACGGTGTAACGATGTTATGAGTGCGATTGTGTGAGCGAACGAAGATTTCACTATCGAAGCAAAACAATCCATTGAGCGAAGGAATGAGCGAATGTTATATAGCGAACTAGCATGGTAACGGTAACGAGCGAATGTGGGTTGCGCGACGGCCCTGGTGCCGAGGTTGGGAATTGTCGAGGCGGAGGACCGTAACGCGGTTTACCAACCGAGCCGTGAGGTGAGCAGGGAAAGGCATGCGGGCCCTGCTCACCGCCCGCATGTCGAACCCGCATCTTGGGTTGACCAGAACACTCGCCTCGCCAGCTACCTGATCAGATCACCTCTCACGGCCTTCCGCGCTAGTATCGAGCCTCTCATCTTCACGCCGAACAATCCCCGCCCCTCGTATTCTGCGCCGCGTCGCGCTCCATGTAGAATGCTTAGATTTGTAACAAGCGTCTAGACCATTCGACCGTTGTTGTCTGCGACCACCAACCTCATCATCGAATCCTCGCTCTCGCACTCGCTCTCGCCACTCCGGCTGCTAGCCTGCCGCCCACCTGTCGGTCCTCGGCAAGCTCGCCGGCACTGCGGGTGCGCCGCGTGGCGTCACGCAGTCCGCCTGGCGGCCAGCGCAGCCTCAGCTGCTTCCGCCTGCCTGCGTATCCCGACGTCACCTTGCGCGCTGCTGCGTGACCCCGTACGGGTTCGACATGCGGGCGGTGAGCAGGGACTCAAGGGTCAGCAAGTGAAGCTGACGTCAGTCCGCAGCCAGCGGTGATCCCGCGCGTATGGCCACACACGGAGGTCGCTCACGCCCCTCCATCCCCGCCTCCACTGCGCCCCGTTCTTCCGCCGCCCCTCGCGCCTCTCCACGCCCCCATCCCCTCCGCGCACCCACGCCTCCGCGCAATCCGCCAACTCGTCTCTGCTGTCCACATTGCAATAGTAACGCTAAAGCTAACGGCAACGGTAACGGTAACGGCAGCAGCAGCAGCGGGTCCGCCATCACAGCATGCGCGCGGCCGCTACCTCATCTGCCTCCGCGCACGCCTCCCCCTCGCCGTCCCGCTCGCCCCCCCACCCGTCCGCCGCGTCGATGGCGCGCGCGCTGGCGAGCGGCAGCGCGGAGGACGCGAAGGCGGCGGGCAACGAGTACTACAAGGCGGGCCGCTTCGCCGACGCGCTTCAGCTCTACGATCGCGCCGTCGCTCTCGCGCCCACGCGCGCACACTACCGCGCAAACCGCGCCGCCGCGCTGTCCGCGCTCAACCGGGTGGCAGACGCCGTCGCGGACTGCGAAGAGGCCGTGCGGCTGGACGGCAGCTACGCTCGCGGGCGGCAGCGTTTGTCTGGTCTGTACCTGCGGCTGGGGCGGGTGGAGGATGCGCGCGCACAGCTGGCGGAGATGGCGGAGGGGGAGGCGGCGGAGGAGAGGGCGCGCGTGGAGCGCGTGGAGGGGTGCGTGGCGCGGTGCGAGCAGAGCGTGCGGGCGGGCGACTGGCAGGGCGCGGTGGTGGAGGCGGATGGCGCCCTCAGGGATGGCGCTGACCTCGCCCCCCAGGTGGGTGGTGTGTGGGGCATGGTGCGTGGTGCACGGGGTATCTGCTACTCAATTATGGCGTGTCATTCGGAGTGTCTGGCTTTGTTTACGAGCCTCCATCCGCCTCCCCCTTCCCCACCCCCCTCCCCCTTCCGCACTCCCCCGTTCCCCCGTCCCCACCACTTCCCCCCCTCCCCCACCAGCTGTGGCTGTGGAGGGCGCGCAGCTGCAGGCATCTCGCGCGCCTCTCAGAGGCGGAGGCCGCGCTGACGTCAGCGAGGGGGGCGCTGACAGCGCTGCGGGCGTCAGTGGCGGGCGAGGGGGCGGGCGGGGGGCGAGGGCGGGCGGTGAGGGCGGTGGAGGGCGACGTGGTGGACGAGGACGTGCGCCTCTCGCTGCTGCTCGGCAGGTGTGCGGTGGTTTGGAGCCCGGGGGGTAAGAGTGCCGGCAGTGAGAGCGATGGGGGGGGGGGTAATGGAGGTGGCCGTGCTGTGCGGCCTAACATCTAACCATGAGGCTCATCTCGCTCCCTTTCCTCCGCTCCCGGTTAGCGCCCCCAAGCCTGGCTTAACAACAGCAGCCTTATGAGGCACAGCTGCCTGCGACACTTTCCCGACCCCCACCCCTCTGCTGGCTGTGCTCCCTGCCACCGTCACCTGCTGCACGCCTACCCTTCAAGTCAACCCTCCCTCCCCTCGTAGCTCCTTCAGCCATGCTCTCGTCTCCTCGCCCCACCTTGCTCGCATGGCGCCACGCTCATGCGGGCAAGCCTGCAACGGGACTTGCTTTGCCCGCCCTCCTTGCCCTGCGCTCGCCCCCTCCCCGGTGCAGGTTCGACGGGGCGGTGGCGAGGGCGGAGCAGGGCGCCAAGCTCTTCCCCGACCACCCCGCGCTGCCCGCGCTGCTCGCCACTGCGCGCCAGCTGGCGGCGGCACGCACGGGCGGCAACGAGCTGTTCAAGGCGGGCGACGCGGCGGGCGCAGCGGAGGCGTACTCGCGGGGGATAGCGGCGGGCGGCGAGGGCAACCCCGTGCTGCTGTGCAACCGCGCTGCGTGCCGCATGCAGCAGCGCCGCTGGCACCACGCCCTGCTGGACTGCCAGCGCGCCCTCGCTGCCCACCCCGCCTACTGCAAGGCGCTGCTCCGCCAGGCCACGTGCCACTCCCAGGTGCGACGGGAGGGAGAGGAGGGAAGGGGACGGGAAGGGGGAATGAGGGCGGGTGGTGGCAGGAGGGAAGAAGGAATGGAGGGGAGGTTGTGAGGAGGGAGGCACTGTTTCACGACCTGAGTTGTGTGAATCCTCTATCTGCCGCTGAACGCTGCTCTTCCACAACTCATGCGTGGCCTGCCAACCCGCACGGACCAACTTCACTTGTCTTTCCGTCAACCCAGAAAACGTGTCACTTGGCGACAATCTTTTCTCCCCTCTATCCTTCCCCTCGCCCCCCCCTCCCCTCCGTCTTCTCCCGTCACGCCACGGCTGCGGCACGGCGGTGGTGGAGGGCAGCTGCAGCAGTGGGAGGCGGCGCACCGGGACTACCTGCAGCTGCGCCACCTCATGCCCAACGACGCTGACGTGGCCAAGGCCTTGGCTGACGTGGAAGCGAAGCTGAATAAGGCTGGAATGCCAGGCAGCAGTGGGGCGGATGGCAGGAGGGGCGGCAGTGTGGCAGGGGGAGGAGGTGGCAGCAGCGGCAGAGTGGTGGCGGTGCGCACAGACAGCGAGTACCGAGGGGCCGTCACCAGCATGGGTGCGATGATTGACACACACTGCCGTACCTGCTCCTCTGCTCTTCTGCTACCTTGGCTGGTGCGGGAACTGTCGTGTGCTTTCATCCCCACTGCCTGAGCGTTCACCCCTGTCCTGTACCATGACCTCGTGCGTGGTGCGTGCAGGGATGGTGGTGGTGGCCTTCAGTGCTGCATGGTGCGCCCCGTGCCGCCAGGCCGCGCCGCTGTTTGACCGCCTCAGCGCCGCCCACCCCACCGTCAAGTTCCTCAAGGTGACTCGTAGATGCCTGCACTGAGGCGTGGTGGTGGGGAGGGGGGGGAAGGTTCTGCCCTGCATGAACAGCGCGCAGCTTTGGTAGTGTGGGTGCAGTGGATGTGGGTGCAGTGGATGTGGGTGCAGTGGATGTGGCAGGCCAAGCCCTGTGCCACAGGGCAGACAACCGGGTACCACATGCCGCACACATGCCGCACACATGCCGCACACATGTATCCTGTGTGCCCCCCTGGCAGGTGGACATCGACGTGCTGCCAGAGGTGGCAGCACGAGAGGGTGTGCAGTCAGTGCCGACGTTCAAGGTGTGGAAGCACGGCACACGCGTCACGGAGGTGGTGGGTGCACAGCTGCCGCAGCTGGACGCCGCCATCCGCTCCGCCCTCAAGTCGCTCAGCCACGGCTTCTGATGGCCCTCGCCGCCCACACCTGCTCAAGCTTCAAAACCTCCAGCCTCCTGACAGGGCAGGCAGGACTGATAGGCTTGGATGCACTGCACACCCTTGGCTACGAGCCATCGCCATCAGACTGAGAGGCATTGCATAGTCCAATGTCATCACCTATGCACTTACCGTCCTCCTGTGCACCTCCACTTCTAATAAAACACATTTTTTTTTTTTTTTTGAAGGGTGCGTCTATAGTATTTATTTTAAGCGAATGGGGCATTTGACTGTCAAGAAACAGAATGCGTTTTTAGGAGGAGCCAGTCGTTCTCTGTAACAGGTGTTTTCTCCATCTCCTACGCTCTATCACCCACCCACCCACCTATGATCCATCTTGTGATCTATGAAATTTGCAGAAGTTTGCAATTCAGAGCCGTATGTGCTTTTGATTTTTGGTCGAACTGTAGGCGACCTTTGCTGTTATCTTAACAATTTCCTGAGGGGGTGTAACAATTTGGATGGGCCGACGTCCGGACGGAAAAAAGGAGAATGTTACACGCCCTGAACAACAATCACAGCGCCCTAACCAACCCTATCGTTGCCGTTGTCCACCGCGTTCCCTCACCGCCAGCGTTCCTCCATCGCGTCCACAGGGGTTGCGCTGTGATGCGCGGCATCGGGGCGGTGAGGGGTAGTAATAGTTGCGGGTCATGGTTCACAAGTTTCTCCCTAGAGTACGATGCGCTGCAGGCTTGATTCAATCTGAGGTGACGCGATGATCAAGTAGTTTGACGCGACGTGTTGAGAAGGCTCGAGATTTATCCCACGAAAGCCTGTCAGTCCTTGGTCGCTCTTGGTCGCTCTTGGTCACCTGTGCGAGCTGAGCACGATGCGGCCCCGCCACCTCGATTTCACTTCAGGAGCTGCTCCACCGCAATCCCCGCAACCCGCGCAACCCGCGCAACCCGCGCAATCTCCGCAACCCGCGCAACCCGCGCAACCCGCGCAATCTCCGCAACCCTCGCAACCCGCGCAATCCCCGCAACCCTCGCAACCCTCGCAACCCTCGCAACCTTCGCAATCGGCGCAGCAGGCGGCGCTGCAGTCTCGACAGCCGCAGGAACAGTCGCCGCATTTGTCGCTAGAAGCACCATTCGCAGACCTGGCGAACCCTGAGGGCGCACGGAGAAGGCAGGGTGTGGCGGCGGAGACAGCAGCGCGCATGGCAGGCGGTGATGATGTGCGGGAAGCAAGCGAAAAACAACAACAGGAGGAGCAGCAGCAGCAGCAGCATCAGCAGCAGCAGATAGGAGTAGCAGCGGGTCATGGGTTGCTGCACAGCCGGAGCGTGCAGGAAATGCTGCAACCTCCGCTGCCCCTGCCCGTGCCTGCGCCCGCGCCTGCAGGCGGGTCGGCACGTGAAGCGAGCATGGCACCCCTGCTCACCCCACCACCGGCGGGTGCAGCAGCAGCAGGCGCGCACACAGCAGGAGCAGCCCCAGCGTCATCACCACCAGCACCGCTCCTAGCACCAGCATCCACAGCAGCAGCAGCGCAGGCGGCAGTGTTGGGAGTGCCGTCAGCGCAGTGCGTGCCCATGCCAGCGGGCATGGCCATGGGTGTGCCCGTGCCCGTCGCCGTGCCCGTCTCTCTGCCAGCCCCCCTGCCGCTCGCCCCGCCCCTGCAGCCGTCCTCCTCGCCCTTCACCACGTGCGCTCCTGCCTCTCCTCTTGCCCTCCCCCCGCCACTCCTCTTGTTCGCTGCTGCCCTTCATCCTGCATGCGTTGCCTTCAGGCCTCTCCGTCTCTCTCATGTTCGCTGTTGCCCCTCACTCACCCCTCGTACCGCATGCATCTTGCACACTCTCGCTCACCCGCCATGCAACCCCGCCTCGCCCTCCCTGCGTGCCCCACCCCGCCCCTGCGTGTGTGTGTGTGCGCCACGCCACACAGGGCCAGCAGGAAGCCACGGGCGGACAAGAAGGACGCGGCCACGGCAGCAGCCGTGCTGGCAGCGGCGGCGGCACGGGAGGCAGCGGGGGGTCCCGGGGGAGGCACGCCTCCGCGCAAGCGGTCGTGCAACTGCCGCAACTCGCGCTGCCTCAAGCTGTACGCCCTCCGCCCACCTGCCCTGCCCCTGCATGCACCACCTGCACCTTTCCGTGTCTGCTTTTTAGATGGGTGGAGAGCAGGGGGGCACGACTCTTCCTCTCATGTGCTGCCTCGCTTGTGCTGCCTCGCTTGTGCTGCCTCGCTTGTGCTGCCTCGCTTGTGCTGGCACGGCAGGGCCATGCCTGCAATGGGCTTCCTATTTCTCCCCTTCGTCCTCGTGTCTACTCCCTTGGTGGCATGGAAGGTACTGCGAGTGCTTTGCGGCGGGGCTGTACTGCGAGGGGTGCAACTGCGTGAACTGCTGCAACGCGCCCGCCAACGAGGCGCAGCGCCACGAGGCCGTGCTCGCCGTGCTCGACCGCAACCCCAACGCCTTCCGCCCCAAAATCGCCCCCCACAGCCCCTCCCACGCCCCCGCTCCGGTTCGCCCTCTCACCACCCCTCACAGCGCCCCCCCTGCTCTCCCACTCGCTGCACCACACTCGCTGCACCACACTCGCTGCACCACACTCGCTGCACCACACTCGTGCACCACACTCACTGCACCCACTATGTTCCTTCTGCACCTGGCAGACTAACTAAGCGAACAAGGCCGGCGATAAGAGTTGAGCTCTCTCGTGGCTGTAGGCTCTTAGCAGCACATCCAACTCACTGCTCTTAGCAGCACATCCAACTCACTGCTCTTAGCAGCACATCCAACTCACTGCTCTTATCGCCGGCCTTGTTCGCTTAGCCCGTCACGTGCAGAGGGAACGTAGTGCAAGCAAGGCTTCCACGACTGAAAAACGTACTGTAATGTATGTATAGAAACCATATTCCAAACCTTGCTCCCACAGCATGTGCACACCCCCTTCAACCCCAATCGTCTTCGCCCTGCCCCTACCCAGTCCCTCCTTTCCAATGCGTCCCACCCCCACCCGGGCCAACCCCCTCTCTGGCAGCAGGGCGAGGCGGCGCGCGTGCACACGCCGGTGGCGGGGCGGCACCGCGCGGGGTGCCACTGCCGCAAGAGCGGGTGCCTCAAGAAGTACTGCGAGTGCTTCCAGGCCAACGTGCTGTGCGGCGCCAACTGCAAGTGCGCCGACTGCAAGAACTACGACGGCAGCCTCGACCGCCAGGCCGTTGTTGCCGGCCTCGCTGCTGCTGCCGCTGCCGCTGCCGTCACTCCCATCAAGTTTGAGGTGCGCAGTCAACCGGAGTGGCACGGCTCCGCACCGCACCGCACCACATCACACCACACCACACCACACCACGCATTGCGATGTGCCGTCCTTCCTTCACCTTCCTTCTTGTTCATCTCCCTCTCCCCTCTCACCACTACTCCCCCCCCCCAGATGTCAGCCTACCAGCGCATGGTCACCCCCACCAAGGCGTCCGCCTTCACGCCTCCTGCTGTGCGCCCTGGCCTGCACTCCCACACATCCCCGCACGCCCATGCACATGCTCGCACACCCTCTCACTCGCTCGCTCACTCGCACTCCTTCCCTCCCTTTCGCCCCCACCACTCGCCTGTGCCTGCCCATGCTACTGCTGCTGCTGCTGGGGGTGCCATGGGCGGTGGAATGGGCGGGGCATGGGATGGGAGGGGTGGGGGGCACGCGGGTGGGCATGTGGTGGCGGGAGGGAGTCCCGAGGGCAGCAACAACATGCGCATGCACCCTCCTGCCGCCTTGAGGTACGCGCTGGCTGAGCTGGGAGGGTGTGAGGTGTGGGCAGCAGACGGTGTGTTTCCCTTGAGTGAGTATCACGGAAAAGCAGGTGTGGAAGCTTGTGGGATGATGTGGCTGTCGCACAGCTCACCTCGATTCCATGCGCCCCAGATGGAGGGTCATATATACAGAGGAGGGCGGAAGGAGAGCAGAGCAACCACACCCACGTGAGCTCATTGGTTTCACCAAGTGCAGCGCGCACATAGCACACACGCAATATGGCCAACCGTTCAGAATTTATGTCTTTTTGTCCATCTCTCGCGTTTTTATCGTTTTCTCCTAAAGCTTCCCTCAGTTCCCCGTCCCTTTCATCTCCTTTCCATCCCCTCGTCCCTTTGTCCATGCCACCTCTCACTCACCCTGTCTCCTCTCACTCACCCTGTCTCCTCTCACTCACCCTGTCTCCTCGCACTCACCCTGTCTCCTCGAACCCCTGCCGGCCCAACCTCCCCCTCCCCACATGCCCCCCAGGTCGCCCCCCCCGCACCCCCCCATGGTGGGCCTCTCCCCCTCCCGCGCGCCCACCACACCCGCCCTGCCCTCCCCCTCGGCGCGCTCGCCCCTCTCCTCGTGGGCGGCGCGGCGCACGTGCATGCTCATGGCGGCGCTGGCGTGGGGCGTTCAGCACGAGTACACCGCGAGCAGTGAGTGGCATATCACAAGTCACTCATATGCCTCTCTTGCCACCCATTCGCACGCTCGTCGCTCGCTTGGAATGCGAAATGCTTATGCTGCCTTCCAATCGGCCTTGTTATGGTCTGCGCTCTCCGTCTGCGCTCTCCCTTCGCGCTCTCTCTCAACCGGTCCTAATTATGAGTTGCGTGTGAGTGCATGGAAAAGCAGAGCTGGTGAGTGCTGGCGAAGCCGTGCAACCAAGCGCTGCACTCACAACGTACGCACGCAGCTGCAGGAGCGCCATCACATCACGTGCTCCCCCTATATTGGCATATACGCGTATAGCGTATATACGCGTGTCGTATATACGCTTGCGTTTATACTCTATACACTAAGGTCCCGAAACTGGGGATACACTATTTCGGGCATGTTTAAAAAAAGTACGGGCAGGTAGGAAAAATCCACCCTGATGTACTTCATGGGTCAGTTTCCACAGGGGTAGTTTTTCTGGTTTTTTTTTCCCGACTCATATTTTTACCAACAAGTCTACAATGACAACTACTCATCTTATTCATACTACTACTCCACATACTACTACTCATGCTACTCCTCACCCAAGCATCAATTACGCCACCTACTCATACTCATCCTCCAGAATGTCGTCTTCCCTCCTCCTCCTCCTTCCCCTCCACCATGTTATAGCCCTCGGGCACGGGAGGCTCCGGCATGTTCCCGAGCACCACACCCGGCATCGCATCCTCGCGGGAATGCCAGTTGCGCACAACGTTCCAGTTGTGCGCAACGAAAACCCGATCCCGGCACTTGGCGGAGCCAAGCCGGTTGTGGCGGGCCGTGTGCACCGAATCCCACGTTGCCCATCCTCGCTCACATGATGAAGCCGACACGGGCTGAGAGAGAGTCCCAATGGCGAGGGCCGCCAGCTGTGGTGTGTCAGTGCCGTGCCACTGCCACCACTTGACCATGTCATATGTGCCCTCCTTGACCAATTTCCTCTGTGCAATTGCATCCCCCATCCCGAAACTTCCCTTCATATCCAGAAATGCCCTCACTCCGCCCTGCAGTGCAATCAAGAGGTCCTCGCTATGATTCCCGTCATCCCCCTCCTTCCCGCGGCTCTTGAGGTGCTCGGCATGCTTAGTGATGAACTCTTCGATTACCTTTGTGCAGTCCGCGTCAGATCTGAAAATATCTTCATCATGATTCGCCGAGTTGAGAATCCGGCCTGCAACGTGCATGGGGCAGGCCAGGCTGCCGTCCCACATGTTCTTCAAGATGCGGTGAATGTGCACTTTGTCGGAGTAGCTCAGCTGCTCCTCATCCTCCTCCACCACGGTCCCCACATCCTCCGTCAACTGCAGCATTATGTCATAGATACCGCCCATCATCCCCTTGGCGCACTATTGGTTTGCCACATTGCCATGAACGGGAGCGTCAGCAGTTTGCAGAAGAACTCCACCGACCGCCACCACGCGGCATCAAGAACAAGCGCTGCAAACGACTCCGCTGCCGCCTTCCGCGCCCCAACTGCCCAGCCCTTCTACAGATCGGACACCACCATCTGTGCAAGCGACTGCCGCAGCTTACAGAGACGCGACACAGCAATGTACTGTGTCCCGAATCTGGTTCCTGCAGGTTTCAGCGCCTGCAGCACCGTTGGTCCCACTAATGCAGGAAAGTGGTCCCCTAGTCCAGTGGTGGTTGTGGACGAAGGAGATAATCTCGCCCCCACGGTCCACAACCTTCTTGGCCCAACCCATCTTGCCGATGTCCTCCATGAGGAGGTCCATAACGTGGGTGGCGCATGGCACGTGTTGAATGTGCGGCCACTCCACCATCATCTCCTGGCAGGCCACCAAGTAGCCGGACCCACCGTCCGTGCAGAACGCCACTACGTGCTGTGGACCGACCTCCTCCACCACGGGCCTGAGGATGCTCGCGACGTAGCCGCCGGTTTTGGTCTCCATGCGGCAGTCAACGCTGTCCTTGAACACCGCGCCGCTGTCATTGATGAGTCTTATCGGTCATCATGTCTGAAGATGCTGTCACGCCGGTCCGCTTCCAGCTCGCCTTCACTCCAGCCAGCCCCTTGTCTATGTTCTCGCAGCACTGCCGCAAGCCCGCCCCGCCGATGAACCTCCTCTTAGGGGGACGTATCTTGCGCCGGCCTGAGTTAATGAAGAGGGGGTGGTCCGCGTGGTGCTCCGGGATCCGAAGCGCCGCGAACATGAGTGCCAACGCCTCATGTGCATCGCGCTTCCCAGCTGCCACATCCGTCTCCAAGTAGTCAGTGATGCGGCTCCTCTTCCCGCCGCTAGTGACCGACGCAATGGCATCTGATGTCGCCTGGCGTCGCTGATCCGCCGCTGCAGCCTTAGCCTCGTACTTGGACCGCACGGCAGCTCCAACTTCATGCGCGGCCTCCTTGCAAAGCGCCACTTTGCGGCGCTTCATCTTCTTCCCACTCGCCAAATGCTGCGCGCAGCGGATGGCGGCACCCGAAAAAACATTGCAGTAGTACTTGCATTCGTACTGCTGTGATCTGACCTCGTCCACCTTGATGAGGCGGAAATGCTTGAACACCTTGTGCTCGACATCCGGAAGGTAAACTCTCGTCGCACGAACAGGACTGGCCGTACCGGTATTAGGAGTAGGAGTGGGCTCAGACGGCGGATTGATAACTGCAGAAACCATTGAAAAGAGGTAGGATGAATTGACGAGACATATCTTTACCTGCTTGTTAAGTAGCGTGGGATGGGTTGGTGGGAACAAGTTGGATTGGAGGGAGTTTGTAGATTGGGAGCGGTACAAAGTGGTGGAACTCCAATTTGCAATGTCAAGGACATCGCGACTCCAAAGATTGGAGCCACGTAATCCAACTCACAAACGCGGCTCCGCAAATTGAAGGCACAGAAACCAACTCACCTCCACACATTGGAGCCACGTCCAGGCCACGGTAGATCTCGGACGTGCATTTCGAGCACGGCATCTTCTTCGCCGTGAAAAGACGAATTTTTTTACATATACTCGAAAATTTTCGATTTTGGGCTACCAAAAAAAAAATTTGAGGGGTCGTGCATGCAAGGTAGGAAACCCTCAGCGAAATGCAGCCGGCTAGCAGCAGAGAGGCGACCCGTGGGTGGATCCGCGAGAGTAAAGCAGGCGACCCGGGGCGCGAGTTGACTTGGGAGGAAGGCCGCCGCCTCTTGTTGTGTTGAGGGCCAAGGCAGTGTGGGTGCCTAGGGAGCTTGAGGCGGTCCTCAAGGGAGTCGGCTGGGGGGGGGCGGTGAGCATTTAGCCGCATTCTGTGCGGGCAGGCCGGTGGTGATGTGATTGAAGGGAGTAGGGCAGTTGGTTTGTTCTCTGAGGAAGCTTACGTTGAACAACACAATCAGCACGTCATTCAGCGTGATGTGCGTCCTGCTCCCTCTGGTTTTGAGAACCACGATCCCTTGCGCGCAATCGTGTGTTGTTCGCCACGGTGACATAGGTCACGGCGGGAGTGGGGATGGCGTTGGATATGTAACGCTCAGAACCCACCATATGCTGCCCACAGGAGTTATCCAGGTACCACGTATTGTAGCGCCTGTTGTCGTTACGTGCGAGCAGCGCCAGTCGCGGGGTAACGATGTGCGGAGTGTCAAATTTGAGGAATTGTTCGCGCGAGATCCAATCGATGGGAGCCGCCCGCTGATCAGACACATGCGGCGGACTTTCAAACAGCGGGATTGGGAGATTCCAGTCTTGGTTGTCTTCGTCGCTGAAATCGTGGCGTGGGCTGAACGGGTTGTTGTTCGAGAACGCTGTTCTCGAACACGTCACCTGAGCCAGCACGTCAGTTGGTTTGTCATCATATGCTCATGGGCACGCTGACGCTGCTGCTTTTCGGGCCAGATGCATGGGCACTGCGAAGAGTGGGGGCTCCAAGGGACCCCTCTGCGTGTCACTGAGCTGAGCAGTGGCGGGCTGTTGAATCCCATGTCCTCGTGCAACAGCATGTCCTCGTGCAGCACCATGTCAGCAGGTTCGTGATGGCCGGATATGGCGGGTGGCATGTTGGCGTTGCGTCTCCTGCATGCAGTGCTGACGGGCACAGCAGTGCACTCCGTATCCGCGCCCGTGTTGCTTCTCCACCAGCCGTGAGCCCACGGGTGGTATCCGTGCTGCGAGCCCACGGGTGGTATCCGTGCTGCGAGCCCACGGGTGGTATCCGTGCTGCGAGCCCACGGGTGGTATCCGTGCTGCGAGCCCACGGGTGGTATCCGTGCTGCGAGCCCACGGGTGGTATCCGTGCTGCGAGCCCACGGGTGGTATCCGTGCTGCGAGCCCACGGGTGGTATCCGTGCTGCGAGCCCACGGGTGGTATCCGTGCTGCGAGCCCACGGGTGGTATCCGTGCTGCGAGCCCACGGGTGGTATCCGTGCTGCGAGCCCACGGGTGGTATCCGTGCTGCGAGCCCACGGGTGGTATCCGTGCTGCGAGCCCACGGGTGGTATCCGTGCTGCGAGCCCACGGGTGGTATCCGTGCTGCGAGCCCACGGGTGGTATCCGTGCTGCGAGCCCACGGGTGGTATCCGTGCTGCGAGCCCACGGGTGGTATCCGTGCTGCGAGCCCACGGGTGGTATCCGTGCTGCGAGCCCACGGGTGGTATCCGTGCTGCGAGCCCACGGGTGGTATCCGTGCTGCGAGCCCACGGGTGGTATCCGTGCTGCGAGCCCACGGGTGGTATCCGTGCTGCGAGCCCACGGGTGGTATCCGTGCTGCGAGCCCACGGGTGGTATCCGTGCTGCGAGCCCACGGGTGGTATCCGTGCTGCGAGCCCACGGGTGGTATCCGTGCTGCGAGCCCACGGGTGGTATCCGTGCTGCGAGCCCACGGGTGGTATCCGTGCTGCGAGCCCACGGGTGGTATCCGTGCTGCGAGCCCACGGGTGGTATCCGTGCTGCGAGCCCACGGGTGGTATCCGTGCTGCGAGCCCACGGGTGGTATCCGTGCTGCGAGCCCACGGGTGGTATCCGTGCTGCGAGCCCACGGGTGGTATCCGTGCTGCGAGCCCACGGGTGGTATCCGTGCTGCGAGCCCACGGGTGGTATCCGTGCTGCGAGCCCACGGGTGGTATCCGTGCTGCGAGCCCACGGGTGGTATTCCGTGCTGCGAGCCCACGGGTGGTATCCGTGCTGCGAGCCCACGGGTGGTATCCGTGCTGCGAGCCCACGGGTGGTATCCGTGCTGCGAGCCCACGGGTGGTATCCGTGCTGCGAGCCCACGGGTGGTATCCGTGCTGCGAGCCCACGGGTGGTATCCGTGCTGCGAGCCCACGGGTGGTATCCGTGCTGCGAGCCCACGGGTGGTATCCGTGCTGCGAGCCCACGGGTGGTATCCGTGCTGCGAGCTCATTGTGGCGTGCAGTCGTGCCACGTGGTCAATCTCTAGTGTTGCCTCTCTCATACTCCCTGCCATCCCCTCACCAGTGGCGCAGGCAGCGCACACGCCGCTGCACGAGCGGACTCGGCCGAAGGGCGAATGAGTTTGTGAAGAGAGCACAGAGTCCTGAAGTGCGATGGCGGAGGGCAGAGGGCATACGGCTCCCTAATCTAACGCTTTCTCTCCCCCTTGCCCTCTCACTGCGTGTGCCTGCCTGTGTGCGTGTGCGCGTGCACCTCTCCAGCAGTGTCCACCCCGCCGGAGCCAGAGGCAGTGCGGGCAGCAGAGGCAGCTGAGGCAGGCGCTGCAGCAGAGGAGCCTTCTCAGCACGCGCTCGCACAGCAGAGCCCCCCCCACAGCCCCACAGCCACAGTCAAGCTCGGCTTCCAGGGCCCCCAGCTGTTTGCTGCTCCTCAGGCGTCTGCTGCTCCTCAGCTGTCTGCTGCTCCTCAGGTGTCTGCTGCTCCTCAGGTGTCTGCTGCTCCTCAGGTGTCTGCTCCTCCTCAGGTGTCTGCTGCTCCTCAGGTGTCTGCTGCTCCTCAGGTGTCTGCTGCTCCTCAGGTGTCTGCTGCTCCTCAGGTGTCTGCTGCTCCTCAGGTGTCTGCTGCTCCTCAGGTGTCTGCTGCTCCTCAGGTGTCTGCTGCTCCTCAGGTGTCTGCTGCTCCTTGGGCAGAGGGTGAGCGAGCAGGCAGTGCAGGCGAGGTGGGCGATGGCGGCAAGGGGCCGAGGGCGAGGGCAGAGGGGCAGGGCGGGCAAGGGGAGGAGAGCAGGGCGGTGGAAGCGGAGAGCATGGGTGGGCTGGCGGGGCACGGTGGGGGGGAGGGGAGTGAGGGGGACGGTGATCGCCAAGGGCAGGAGCAGGCGAGAGAGGGAGGCGCGGGTGGAGGCGCGGGTGGAGGCGCGGGTGGAGGCGCGGGTGGAGGCGCGGGTGGAGGCGCGCGGACGGATGAGGAGGTGAGAGGCGTGCTTGCTGACAGTAGCCCTGGTAACGCGGAGGATGAGAAGGAGATAGACAGGGTTGGAAACGAGGAGAGGGATGTGGGTGTGGAAAGGGATAGGGAGGAAACGGAAGGGGAGGAGAGAGATAGCGAGGAGAAAGATGAGAAAGAGAAGTATGGGGCGGAGAGGGGTGGGGAGGAGAGGGATGTGGGGGAGAGTGATGGGGAGAAGAGAGGATGGGAGGAGATTGAAGGAGAAATGAGAGAAGAGGAGGAGAGCAGAGAAGAGAGAGAAGGGGAGAGGGGAGGGGATGGGCCAGATGGGGAAAATAACGACAAGGAGAGAGAAGCTGATGAGAGTGAAGGGCCAGGGATGGAACGAAGGGAAAGAATGAGGAGCGAAGAGAAGGCGAGAGATGATGACGAGAGGGGAGGAACGGAGAATGAGGAGATGAGGAGTGACGGGAAGGTCCCGAAGGAGAGTGTAGAGAAGAGGGGGAAAGGGAAGGTGAATGATGAAAAGAGGAGGGACGGGAGCGAGAGAGCATCGAACAGGAGGGAAGGGAAGGACAGGGATGGAGAGGAGAGAAGTCGAGAGAGGCCAGATGGGAAGGAGAGAGATGGCAAGAGGGAACGGAAGGGGAGAGAAAGAAGTCGAGATTTAAAGGAGAGGGCACGGACGAGGGGAGATGGGAAGCACAGAGAAGGGCGGGAGAGAGAATGGAAGAAGAGGGAAGGTAGGGAGGGAGAAGCAAAGAAGAGGGAAGGGAAGGAGAGATACAGAGAGAGCTACGTAGAAAGGTGGAGATACAAGGAGAGCGATAGGAAGAGGAGAGAAGGTAAGGATAGAGAAGGAAAGCAGCGAGACTCGAAGGAACGAGGAGGGAAGGACGAAGAGGGGAAGAGGAGAGAAGGGAATGAGAGAGAAGGGAAGGAAAGAGATGGAAAGAGAAGAAAAGGGAAGGAGAGAGAAGGGAAGGATGGCGGAGGTAAAGAGAAAGGAGTAGAGAATGAAAGAAAGGAGAGAGAAGAGATCGAAATGAAGGAGAAGGAAAGCGGAGAAGATAGCAAGTTTGGTGAGGCCCAAGAAGGCCACGTGGTGGTGGGCGAGGGAAGCGGGAAGTCGTGTGCGGTGGTGTGGGGGAAAGATGAGGTGGTGCGCACTGTGCGCGTGGGGAGTGCAGGTGTGGGGTGCAGGGAGCAAGTGGGCGGTGGTGAGAGCAAGGCGGAGCAGCGGGACACAGAGGAGAGGGGGGGGCGAGCTGAGTCCCCATCGCAGAGGCAGGGGGGTTCTGTGGGGTGGGTGGGAGGGGTGGGTGAGGGCGCAAGTGGTGAGGGGGGTGGTGGTGGTGGTGGTGTGAAGGAGTGGGCATGTGCACCGGACAAGGATGACTGTGCGGGCGAGATCAGAGGCAGGAGCAAGAAGGGCGAGGGTGAGAAGAAGGACGAGAGTGAGAAGGATGGTGAGAGTGAGAAGGATGGTGAGAGTGAGAAGGATGGTGAGAGTGAGAAGGATGGTGAGAGTGAGAAGGAGGGAGAGAGTGAGAAGAAGGGGGAGAGTGAGAAGAAGGGGGAGAGTGAGAAGAAGGGGGAGAGTGAGAAGAAGAGCGAGAGTGAGAAGGAGGGAGAGAGTGAGATGAAGGGTGAGAGTGCGAAGAAGGGTAAGAGTGAGAAGGGTCAGAGTAAGGAGAATGGTGACCGTGAAAAAAAGGGTGAGAGTGAGAAGAAGGGCGGGAGTGAAAAGAAGGGTGAGAGTGAGAAGAAGGGCGAATGTGAAAAGAAGGGAGAGAGTGAGATGAAGGGTGAGAGTGAGAAGAAGGGTAAGAGTGAGAAGGGTGAGAGTAAGAAGAATGGTGACCGTGAGAAAGGGGGTGAGGGTGAGAAGGGAGAGAGTAAGAAGAAGGGGGACAGTGAGAAACAGGGCGAGTGTGAGAAGAAGGGAGAGAGTGAGAAGAAATGTGAGATCGAGCCTTGTTTGGAAGAGGGTGGGGTGATAGTGGAGGTGGGCGAGGAGGTGGGCGAGGAGGTGGGAGTGGGTGCAGCGGGGAAGGCGTGTGAGTTGACTCGCGTGCTGCTGGGTCCCACGGTGTCGCGTCTTGCTGCTGCATCCGTTGGTGGTGGCATTGAAGACTTGAAGGCGGGGGATGATGTGATGCTGCCAGGTGGCGGGGCAACAGCAGTGGAGGAAGAGAGAGGGCAGGCAGTGGATGCAGAGGAGAAGCAGGTGGAGGGCGGTGAGGAGGAGGAGGGGCAAGGGGGTAAGGGGAGGGATCAGGTGAGCATCAAGCAGGAGGGCAGCGGTGAGGGGAGACCAGTGCAGGGGGGGGAGGAGAGGGGAGAGCGGAGGGTAGCGGCTGGGAGCTTGGTGGAGATCGAGGTGGAGGAGGGAGAACGGGAGGAGGGAGAAAGGGATGAGGAAGTGGTGGGAGGTGGGAAGGTAGGAGGCAGGGGACAGGAGCAGCAGGAGGAGGGGGAGGAGGGGCGGCAGCAGCGGTCGGTGTCGCCGGGCACGCGGGCGCTGATGTGCGACGAGGAGGACGACCCCGGGGACACGCTCTTCGCCGCCACCTCCTCCCCGCTCGCCCGCTCCAGCGCCCTCGCCAGCAGCGATGCCGATGCTGACCTGGACGATGACGTGGCGAGGGGTGATGTGGCGGGTGAGGGGGCAGAGCAGGGTGGAGGGGAATGGGGTGCGTGGTGGGATGGCAGGCGGGTGAGTCGCAAGCGCAGTGCAGACCTCATGGAGGGGGGAGGCGCGGGGGAGGGGCAGCGCGCCATGGGGGCGGTCATGGGGGCAGGCAGCAGCAGCCCCTCCGCCGCTCTGCCGCGCACCACCAGCGCTGCCCTTGCCGCCCGCCTGCCGCCCTCTGGGTTCTCGCCCTCGCCTGGCAAGGCCAGGAGGAGAAGCCTGGGGGGGCATGGTGCGGGGGGTGGCGGCGGCGTGAGGGGTGGAGAAGAGCAGGTGGATGGGAGGAGGAGCATGAGTGCCGGTCATGCTGCCCTTGCTGCTGCTGCCGCCGCTGCTGGCAGTCATCCCTTTGCTGCCGGAGGCGTCTCAGGAGCTGCTGCAGGCGCGGCAGCAGCAGAGGTGGGTGTGATGGATGATCCAAGAGTTGCCATCCGCCTGGCTGCTATGCGGTCGGCACTGGCAACAACAGTGGGTCAGGGGAGAGGGGCGTCGGCAACAGGAGGGGCGAGCGGAGGGGAGGGAGGGGAGCGGATGCAGGCAGTGCAGCAGAGGGCGGTGGTGGAGAGGGGGCTACTGGAATTGCTGGAGGACCATCTTCTGCAGATCGCCGCCCACATTGGCGCCCCCGCCTGCTAGGGGCATGAGGGGGAGGAACCGGGATGTGAACGGCACGTTGCAGTCAGCATGTGTTTTTTTTGTTTTGTTTTTTTTTGTAAAAACATTATTAAACGTAGATACATCCGCAGTCGTAACTGTACTCTGGGAGGTCATAGGCCTCGTTAAGAGAGCGACGCACATCCCCCCTTATGCAACTACGGTGGTTGATGGAACGTGCGCGGGTTGCGCCATATGGATAAGAAGTGGGCCGTCCACTTCGTTGGTCCCTCCGCACTGCAGACCTCTTGCAGCTGCTTCCTCTCGTCAGCCGCCACCTGGCTTCACTGATCAGGTTTCCACCCACTGCCTCCTCCGCACCTCGCCATCATCCTAGCCCTGGATGCCAGCACAACCCTTACGTGTGTCACGAATTCCAGCACAGCACAGCGCCCCACCTTCATTTCAAAACCAACTGCCTGCCATGCAGCGTCACACCTCGCAAATCACACGTGTCGAACAGTATTGCAACCAGCGTCATTTCCAGAAATCCCGTAACCGTGCAATTCAAAAAGCAGATCCCCCAGTGAGTCCATTGGCCTGCCCGGGTTCATCAGCTGCAGCGACAACTTGAGCGCGCCGATAACCGGCTGGCTGTATAACCGGGCTGCTGTACAGGCAGTGGGCTAGGGTTTCCACCTCCCCACCGTGTTGCTGAGAAAATCCAGCCTCACCCCCACCTAGAGGTCCATGTTATGAACCTTTCAAATTGTATTTGTTCTCTGTAGGCTGTTGTGGGGCATACCCTAAAGGGTACAACACTTTAGGGTTAGGCAGTACTTGTACTCATGCTTCCTACCTAGTCAATCATTCTTACCTTCTTAACTTCTGACATGGTATCAGAGCAAGGTCCATCCGTAGGACCGCTCCGTTAGGGCCCACCGATAGTTTCGACCTGCCCGATCTGCTCGATCTGCCCGTACTGCCCTGCCCGAACTGCCCGTACTGCCCTGCACTGCTTGCACTGCCCTGCACGGCCTGCCCTGCCCGTCGCGCTGCCCCCACAGCTGCCTAGCGTGCGACCCGCACACTACCCTGCTCGCGGCCTGCTCGCGCGGTTGACTTCCTTCGTATTGAGGAGGTCGGTGCTGCGTCTGCTCCTAGTGGGAGGCGCCGCAACAGCAACGGCAAGGGGGGTAAGGGTGGTGGGGGGGCACTGGAGGGGGTGGTGGCGGGGGTGGTGGCGGTGGTGGTGGCGGGAGTGGAGGCGGTGGTAGTGGCAGTGGAGGTGGCTGGGGTAGTGGAGGCGGTGGAGTGGGCGGAGGGGGCTCGGGTGGAGGTCGTGGTGGAGCTGGCAGGGGCGGAGGCTCTGGGGCGGCGACTGGTGGTGCAGCTCGTGGCGGCGGAGGCACTGGGGGTGGACAGCAGCAGCAGCCACGCACCCCTCAGGAGCTTCGTGAGTGGGTGGTTAAGCATGGATCCACTGGGGCCAATGTTCGTTGCCTGTACGTCCGGCGCTCGGGGCTCAGGACTGGTGAGCCCTGTGGCAAGACTGGGCACACTGAGTATCGTTGCTTCTGTCGTCTCAAGGATGCCTGGCGCACCGAGTACGGAGATGAGCTGGCTCCCCCCAACTGGTGAGCGTTGCTAGGGAAGGGGGTAGATGTGTTTGCTCTTGAGAAAAAACGTCAGGTTTCGAATTTCACATTGTGGCATCCCAGAGAATCGTGAACAAATCGCTGGTGCCACAGTACAAATGTTGCCAGCTAAAAAAACAAAACTGTAGCCCCATTCTCGACAAAACAGACCTGTGTTTGCACATGTTCAGCGCACAGTCTCGGTGTGGTTTGCTGATGTGGCGCGATTGAAAGGCTTCGCGCGCGCGGATTCTAATCGCGCAATACAAGTCTGAAATTTGGTTTTAATAACGAAAAACTCGAGTTTGCACAAACCTGATATGGGGTAGGCCTGACTAGAGGCCGTAGGAACACGCTCTACGTATGCTGGTGCTGCTAGTGTTGAGGGTGACTGTTACTCGTGTGTGCCGCGCGCTGCTGGTGTAGAGGCTGCTGCTCTCCGCTGCCGCAGGTACTGCTTCAGCTGTGGCTTTGCACGCCTTCACACTTGACTCAGGCGCGTCTCGCTGTTTCTTTCGCGATTGCACCACAGTCACACCGCTCACAGCACATGTCCCAGTCTCTCTGGCTGACCCCTCTGGGGGCCCAGTTGTTGCACGAGCCTCCACTGTGCTCCCTTGTCCGGCAGTCCCCTCTTGTTCTCTGTCCGGTCTCCACATCCCCTCGTTCTCTAAGAACTTGGTGAGTAACGCTGTCCTCCAGGACGAGTTGGTCAGTACCTTTACTCCTGGAGGTGAGCGTGTGGCGATATGTTCGGACTCACGCACTGGCGAGCACCTCGCCACGTTCACCCGGAGCCCTGGGTCTAGCCTGTACATACTGACCACTGAGTCCGCACAGGTGGCTGCGTCAGGTCAGGTAGCTGCGTCTGCACAGGTGGCTGCGTCGGGTGAGTTAGCTGCGTCTTGTTCGTGTTGGCTACTCTTGCACCAGACTCTCCTCTGGCACCACCGTCTTGGTCACCCCTCCCTGCCGAGCTTGCGTGGCATGCACTCTCGTCTCCTTGTCTCTGGCCTCCCCAGGTCACAATCCCTGCTCCCGCGCTCGCTTGCACCGCCGTGCATTCCCTGCGTCGAGGGGCCGCAGTGCGCCGCTCCTCACTCCTCGTTTCCGCCGACCACTGCTCCTCTGCAGACTCTCCACATGGACGTGTGGGGCCCAGCCCGCGTCCGTGGACAGGACCACGAGCGCTAATTTCTGCTGGTTGTTGACGACTACACGCGTTACACCACGGTCTTCCCCTTGCGGAGCAAGGCGGATGTCCGAGGTGTTTTGATCGACTGGATCATCGCTGTTTGTCGCCAGCTGAGCACTCGGTTTGAGCAGGACCTCCAGGTCCTGGGACTGCACTCTGACAGAGGCGGTGAGTTTTCCTCCGACCTCCTTCAGGACTTTTGTCGTGCGGAGGGCATCCGCCAGACGTTCACGCTTCCGGCCTCTCCACATCAGAATGGGATTGCTGAGCGCCGCATTGGCTTAGTCATGGACGTTGCTCGCACCTCCATGATCCATGTGGCTACTCCCCATTTTCTGTGGCCGTTTGCGGTCCGATACGCCGCGCATCAGCTCAACCTCTGGCCCCGTGTCTCTGTGCCAGAGACTTCGCCTACACTGCGTTGGACTGGGGAGGTTGGCGATGTGTCGGCGTTTCGGGTCTGGGGCGCGCTCTCCCTTGTTCGCGATACCACCGCGAGCAAGCTCTCTCCTCGCACTCTCCGCTGCGTCTTCCTTGGCTTCCCCACCGACGCCCCGCCCTGGCAGTTTTACCACCCTGTCTCGCGCCGGGTCCTGTCTTCACAGGACGTCACCTTTGACGAGTCGGTCTGCTTCTACCGTCTCCACCCGCACACGTCTTCCCCGCTCTCCCCGCCGCCCCTCTTCCTAGTCCCAGGTCCTCCTCCGATAGACCCCCTCCCCCCGCAGGGTCCTGCTCCCTCAGGTGTGTCTCAGGTCGACCCACCCCCCTTGTTTGAGCCTTTAGAGGTCTCCTCCGACACCTCTGGCCCAGCTGAGGGGGGTGACCTTGCGGCTGACGACACGGCTACGACTCGCCGCTCCCCGCGCTTGGAGACCCCTCCTGGTTTTCCGCCTCGGCCGTCTTCGCCGCCTCCGCAGCTTGTCGCTGTGGGCTCTGGTTGTTCTGGGGGTGCTGAGTCTGGGGGTGCCGGTTTTGGGGGTGCTGAGTCTGAGGGTGCTGGTTTTGGGGGTGCTAGAGGTGCTGGAGCTGGAGGTGCCGCTGGTTCTGGGGGTGCTAGAGCTGCTGGTGCTGTAGGTGCTGGAGCTGGAGGTGCTGCTGGTGTTGGAGGTGCTACTGGAGCTGGAGGTGCTGGAGCTGCTGGTGCTGGAGCTGCTGGTGCTGGAGGTGCTACTCGTGCTGGAGGTGCTGGAGGTGCTGCTGGTGCTGGAGGTACTGGAGCCGGAGGTGCTGGAGCTGTTGGTATTGGAGGTGCTGGAGCTGCTGGTGTTGGAGGTTCTAGAGCTGGTGGTGCTGGAGCTGCTGGTGCTGGAGGTTCTAGAGCTGGTGGTGCTGGTGGTGCTGGAGGTGCTGGAGCTGGAGGTGCTGGAGGTGCTGGAGCTGCTGGTGCTGGAGGTGCTGGAGCTGCTAGTGCTGGAGGTGCTGGAGCTACTGGTGCTGGAGGTGTTGGAGCTGGAGGTGCTGGAGGTGCTAGAGCTGGAGGTGCTGGAGGTGCTGGAGCTACTGGAGCTGGAGGTGCTGGAGGTGCTAGCGCTGGAGGTGCTGGAGCTGCTAGTGCTGGAGGTGCTGGAGCTCCTGGTGCTGGACGTGCTGGAGCTGGAGCTGCTGGAGCGGCTGACGGTACGGGTACTGTGCCGCGTCAACCGTTTTTCTACCCGCAGCCGCAGTCGTCCATGCCACCGCCTGACTCGGCCCTTCGCCAGGTTCTTAGTCCCCTGTCTTCCACTGGCCTCACTCCACCTCTCCTGTGTCCACCGACAGACCAGTCTCAGCCACAGCTACTGCATGGCTCCCCGCTGCCTACTCCCGCTCCTCACACTGAGGTGACAGAGTCCCTGACTGAGCGTCGTGAGCCTGAGACTCGTGCTTCCAGACATGTTCGTAATCGTCGTGTCCCATGTCCTCGTCCTCCTGCTGTCCCAGGCACTCACGTTATGGAACTTCGTCCTTCCTCTGTTCCACAGCGTGTTGCCCTGCCGTCTCCTCCTGCGTCCTCTCTTCATGACGTTCCTGATCCTGAGTCCAACCTTGCTCGTGCTGCAAGTCCTACTGTCACTCGTCTCCTCGCTACTGTCGTCACTGACCCTGACTCTGAGTCTACTGCTGCGTTTTCCCTAGTCACTGAGCTAGTCGACTTTGCTGCTAGGAGTCGTCTCGACTACGTCGCGAGTCTTGTTACTGAGTCTGAGTCAGTCTGTCCTCCGTCCGTC